CTATTGCTCTCTAGACACATGGGAGAGCTGAGTCACATAAAGAACTGTGTTGGCTGATATCTATCCACAAAGGATGCCAGCTAGTATTTCGACTATGATTTCATTTTTTAAAGTACTCTATAAATATTGAGAGCATATATGAACTTAAGGTTAAAAATTGAATCCTCATCTGACCTGCTCATGAATAAACAGGTATAGGAAAATAATAATTAAAAAAAAGAAGACATTATATGGAACAAACTACATGTGAGTCTTCTGTATACAACTGGGAAAAATATACAGTGGGCCCTTAGTAGTCTGACTTGACCACGGTGGTCAACGCTTTAGTTACCTCTAGACTGGACTATTGCAATGCACTCTACATGGGGCTTCCTTTGAAGACAGCCCAGAACCTCCAATTGGTCCAACGTTCGGCAGCCAGACTACTAACTGGGGGAATTACAGGGAGCTGTCTATCCCCCAGTTTAAGGAGCGCCACTGGCTGCTGTTTATCTTCCGGTCTGAATTCGAGGTGCAGGTGATCACCTATAAGGCCTTGAGAGATTTGGCACCCACCTACCTTTGTGACTGCATCTCCTACTATAAACCTGCACAATCTCTTCAATCCTCTGGGAGGCCCTCCTTTCGACCCTTCCTCCATCACAAGTATGACTTGTGGGAACGAGGGAGACAGCCTTCTCCGCTGTTGCTCCTTGGCTTTGGAACTCACTACCTGGAGAGATTAGGCAAGCCCCCACCCTAGCAGCCTTTAAGAAAGATCTAAAATCTTGGCTCTTTCAATGTGCCTTTGGAGAGTGACCATATATCCCATTTCTGTCTGTTCCATCTATAGTGTCATCCTCATGACGCACTTTCCCCCCATCCTTAATGAAGGCCTAACCCCACTTTTCATCCCTTATGAGCTCTTCCCTCACAAATACACTTTTCCACTACTATCTCATTCAGAGTTTTAGCATTTTTATCTTGTGCATTTGGCCCACTCATTGTGTTCTATTCTTTATTATATTATTTTGCAACTGTTTATTTTATCTTGTTACTTTATGTATCTTACTGTGATGTAATTTTTCGTTGCTTTGTATTTTATTTTGCTGTATTGTATTTTTGGGCTCGGCCTCATGTTAGCCGCCCCGAGTCCCCTTTGGGGAAATGGCGGCAGGATATAAATAAGGATTATTATTATTATTATTATTATTATTATTATTATTACCACCACCAGCTGGGGTTTAGATGCAGAGCCCCAATCTGATACCAAAATCCATGCATGTTCAATGCCCATTATAAACAATAGTATAGAAAAATGGTATCACTCATATAAAATGGAAAAATCAAGGCCTGATTTGTAGGGTTTTTTTCCTTAAAATCTTTTCAAGCCATGATTGAAACCATGGATACAGAATCCATAGATAGAGAGGGCTGAATGTATTTAGAGATATGACTGCTGGCATGACAGAACTTCCAGCTATCTTTATATATCAATTAGCTATCTTTGCATTTCCTCAAAATCTGTTCCATGAGATGTACTACCAGCTCTCTGGAGCAAGTGTAGTGAGTACTTGGTAGGTCACAGTACCTCATGTATTTGATACCAATAACATTACTGCAAAGAAGCACAAGGATGGCTTATCACAATTGTGCCCTAGAGTCTTTGGTTTGGGACATCCTTATCATAGAATAAATGTCTTAAAAACTAACAAGTGAATGTGATAAAGGGCTAAAAGATCAAAAGCATTTGAAAATATGTGTATTTATTAATGGCTATTTATTTCAATGTAAATATCCTTTTGCAGCCATTGTGTCTATATAGCACTCTGCATAAATCTCTTCATTCAAAACCCAAGCAGTGGCAATGTAATCTGGGAGCAAATTAAGAAAATGAAAATATGTGTCTCCATGTTTCTAGGGCCCATTAACATTTTGGAGGCACAAAAATGATTCCAGCAAACAAATTTACAGTTGCATCATACCATGCTTAATTTGCATACTGCCTTTGAAGCTATGCACTGGGGAAAGTGAACAGAAGGGGAGAGCCATTAAATGAACAACAGTAAACCAAAAAAAAGTATCATAACTCATGCTGGAGTGAGAAAAACAAATTAAATTGCTGAGAAGTTGGGGGAGAGACAATGTGAAATAAATCCATGGAAAAGTCTGGCCAAGGGGATTTGTGTACAAATTATGAAGCACTGGAAAAGGATGAATGAAGAATCATCATCTAGGGTCTAATGCAAAATTCAATATTATCAATGCCAGACTGTATGATCTGCCAGATTAGTCCCATTCTGGAGATTCACAGAGATGCAGTAATAGCATTTTTTTGACACAGGGGTGTTATATGATTCTGTAAATGTCCTGATTATTGCGTCTTTTCTGCTTTTCCTCTTCATCTCTGCCTAACCTCCCCAATGTGACTCTTAAGTAGGAGAAAGTATTTGTTTTTCAAAAAAACTCATTAGGCCCACCTGAATAATTAACACTCACTTGTATAGAAGAAGATTTCTAAGAGGTAACATCTAAATAGAGAAATGCAACTCCTCACTCTAGTGATAATAGTAAGAAGAATTGCCTTCTGGCTATTAAAGTTTACCACAAAATCTATTAAAGCAATGACAAAAGTAATAGCCTACATACAAAAAAGGACATCTGCCATCTTTTTTCCTCGTCCCTAGGTAATTATGTTAATACAATTTCAGCATCATAAAAGGTATGGTTTAATGAAGTATTGATACAAGAAGACACATATTTGCGATATTTGCACATTCTATTATTATGTATGTTATTTCTTTTTCTCTTTAACGGAACTGATCAATATTTTAAAAGTGAAGAACATATCAATATTTGCCTCTTGAGGTACATATATAGGGAAAATAAAAAACTGTGTTAATATCTAAAGGGCTTTTAAAAAGAACTCGCTTAAAAATGATGAGTTCAACATCACATTTGTTATTGTTATGTTGTTCATTCGTTCAGTCGTCTCCAGCTCTTCGTGGCCTCATGGACCAGCCCACGCCAGAGCTCCCTGTCGGCTGTCATCACCCCCAGCTCCTTCAAGGTCAGTCCAGTCACTTCAAGGATGCCATCCATCCATCTTGCCCTTGGTCGGCCCCTCTTCCTTTTACCTTCCACTTTCCCCAGCATAATTGTCTTCTCTAGGCTTTGTTGTCTTCTCATGATGTGGCCAAAGTACTTCAACTTTGTCTCTAGTATCCTTCCCTCCAATGAGCAGTCGGGCTTTATTTCCTGGAGGATGGACTGGTTGGATCTTCTCGCAGTCCAAGGAACTCTCAGAACTTTCTTCCAACACCACAGTTCAAAAGCATGTATCTTCCTTCGCTCAGCCTTCCCTAAGGTCCAGCTCTCACATCTGTAGGCTACTAATTAGTGTAAAAGTTAGCTATGTTAATATTTTCATGTCCAAGAAAAAAAATGATGTCTGCATCCCAAAATCTGTATTCCATGCTAAACCTTGCCAATCTGTAAACTATAGCCACAGTTCAAGGGAAAATAATGCAATTCTGGAAACTTGTGGATTGTTTCCATACAAAATATTGGAGGTCTGCAAACCTCAGCTCCTGTTCTAAGCAACACCTTGTACTCCTAACAACCAGAACTTCTGTTCTAGGTGAAACCTTCAAAGGCTGGAAACCAGAAGACATTTTACAGCAAAATACATTATACCAGCTGCTTAGCTTCTATCTTTACTTAGAGATAAGAGCAAAGAATCAGGCCCTTATTTTATTTCCTTTTATTACGAGGCATCTTCCACAATAATGAATAACAATACTGACTCTTTACGTCAATAAATGATAAAGCTCAATTTCATTGCATTGAAATAAAAATATGAAAATGATTCCTGTTCTTTTTTTAAAAAAGCTCAATGCATTAACTTATTTAGTCTTAACAGGTTATTTCCAACCTCTGGGTTTACACACCACAATTTCTTAACAGCAGATTAGACCAAGAGTTTTGACTTTTCTACCATTCTTCTGCAACACATATAAATGGACCTGTTGCGTGTCAGCCTATTCAGCCTGTGATTGTGTCTGATGTTCATGCTGATGCTCATGATGGGGATGATGTTCTTTGTGGATTTGGGGGTGAGGGTTTGTTTGGGCCTGAGTTAAGTTCAGAAGAGAGGCCTGCACTGTTTCAGGAAGATTCTCAAGGCCACATTTCTGGGAGAGACCTTTCACCGCTTTTCTCAGTAGCAGTAATATCAAAAATAGACAAGGCTAATAAAACACAAACTGAAATAAAGAACACAAAACTAAAAGAATAACAGTTAAGTTGCCCAATGACTATTCAAAGCAAAAGTTCTATAAGTTAAAAAAAACAATAACAAAGATTCATACAATTTAAAATGTTCTTGTTGCTAAATAAATTGATTTAAAATATTTTTGTACTGAGCTCAACCAGCTGAATGGGGGGGGGGGGAAACTTCCCTTTTTAGATAAAATTACATATATGCAAAATAAAAAGGGGGTAGATAGAAAAAGGGGGTAGATATAATTTCTGAAGAAAGAAATAATGTTAGCAGATGCTGCCTATTAATTTTTTTAACTGACTTATGAATGAGAATGGTTATTCACTTTCAATCTCATGACAAAACACCATTTGTTCCATATTTCCTGCTCCTGCACTTGAAAAGTACTTGACATTCACTTAATGATCATGTACACTTTAACAGATTGCGTCATTTGTTCAATTATGGAGTCATACAGACATGTATAAGGAACAAGAGGCAATGCATTCTGTAAGCAAACACTATGTTGCTTGCAGCTGTGTCTTCACTGTAGATCTGAACTCAAGGAAACTGTTTTTGTGGTGTTTGTAGTGCACAGCACAGCGTAGCTGGCAACCGACTACACAAAGAGAGAATTAGATGGCAGAATTGATCTTCCCGTGGCCCCCACCCCAGTACAGTTTTACAACATATCATAAAGGGATTAAACATTTCCACAGATGTGCCAAATGAAAAGCTACCACGATGGTATGCAACTCACTCTGCAGTGGTCATGCTGCTGCTGTACAGTTGGAACATCCCCACCAATAGGCATCTGCTTCTTCAAATCTTCATCTTTTAGATTCAGCCACTTGATCAGCTCTTCCAATGATGTCAGCAACTTGTTCCATTTCTCTGCACTTACTTCTAAGTGAGCTCTACAATGAAATATAGCAAACATTTAGATTTTAGCAATTAGATGTTGCATCAGTGTGACTTAGCAGACAGCTTCCTTAATTTATCATTGTTCAAATGATGCATTCGAATTGTCCACTTGAAAACTAATCCGTGTGAGGAAAGCAATACTCCAAAGGCACCAGATCCTATTTCATCTTGTAAACTAAGCAAGGGAGGAACTGGTTAGAATATGGAAAATATACCACCAAGAAATATTAGGTAATATAGGATATATTTTAGAGGAATGACAAATCTCCCCTAATTATTCATTCCCTAAGAAAATCCTATGAAATTCACGGTGTCAACAGAAAAGTGATGGCATTTTTTTTACCTGAGTTGTAAGGAATACTCAAATAACACATGAACTGATACAAAATTCTACTAAATTGATCTTAATATAGGAAAACTATCCCCCCTTCTCTATTTTTCTTCGTATTTTAAAAATTACGGTAATCATCATGTAATCTAAAAGCAATAACTGAATGTTACACTACTTCTGCACTGTATAGCATTACATCTTGGCTATCAAATGCATGAATTTGAAATAACTTTTAAAGAATCTTAAAGGTCAACTCTAGATTTCCATGAGAGAGATGCTACCTGCAACAGATTGATGTACAGAGCAGGAAGAGGTTAAATGCTCCTTGAGTTTTGCTGTTGCAGGTTATTTATTCATTTTGCTTAATCAACAAATCCCTGTACTATTGTACTGTAATTCAGTTAATATGACATACCATTAGTGCAACTACTAGAGCCCCCGGTGGCACAGTGGGTTAAACCCCTGTGCCAGCAGGACTGAAGACCGACAGGATGCAGCTCCTCATATGGGGACATGACAGAAGCCTCCCGCAAGGATGATGAAAACATCAAATCATCTGGGTGTCCCCTGGGCAACATCCTTGCAGACGGCCAATTCTCTCACACCACAAGCGACTTGCAGTTTCTCAAGTCACTCCTGACATGACAAAAAAAGTGCAACTACTCTTGATAATGTCAGAACCTTTTATTTTTCTCATCCCCTTGTCCATTTCCAAGTACATAAAGCAGAATGTGTCCTCACAGTCACAAAGAAATTGTTCTAATCTTCTCTTGTCACTTATCAGTGTGCAAAATACATTTTAAATTCTTAGTAGCTTTCTAACATAACAAGAGAAGGTTCCCAGACTTCCACTATAATTCCATGTTTTCCATGATCTTGATTAATCCTGAAACCATATAATTGCCTTACAATGGAAAATGGTTTCATTCCCTATATATCACTATGTCTACCAAACAGAGTAGTTTACTTTTCTGCTAGCTCCACATGCAATTCTAGTAAATGAATACCACATTTTAAAAAAGATTAAATCTCTCCAAAACACCACTTACTGTCTTATAAAGATTCAGTAATTAGTGATCCAATCATTCTCTCTCTCTCTCTCTCGCTTTAATAGTAAAGATAAAGGTTTTCCCTGGCATTAAGTCTAGTTGTGTACAACTCTGGAGGTTAGTGCTCATCTCCATTTCTAAGCGAAAGAGCTGGAGTTGTTCATAGGCACCTCCAAAGTCATGTGGCTAGCATGACTGCATGGAGTGCTGTTACTTTTCCTCAGAAGCGGTACCTATTGATCCACTCACATGTGCATGTTTTCGAACTGCTAGGTTGGCAGAAGCTGGGGCTAATAGCAGGAGCTCACCCTGCTCTCCAGATTCAAACTGCCAACCTTTTGGTCAGCAAGTTCAGTAGCTCAGTGGTTTAACTCACTGCACCACCATATTGATATTAATATTATTAAAAATGTATAATGTCAAAAGACATACTTGGCTTCCTCCAACCTTAAGTGAATAGTGGTTATAGACGAGTAGTCCTCTGACCACAATGTCCTTATCACGAATTTGAAGGGGATAGCCAAGAAATATGATTGCATTGTTATAGCCATTGCACCTCACCATTTCCCATGTTGACCTAGAATGATGAGGATTAGAATGAAACCACAACTGAGGGCCCATAAGCTCCCTTCTTATAAAGCCCAACCATATAGAATAGGGAGGGAGAAATATGAGGATACACATAAGTGAAAGCTCTGATAATGAATGGAAAGGCTCGTTGGCCTTGATTCTCTACAGCTACAGATTATTTAATCCCTTTGCATCAATGCAAACCAAATTGTCAGGACTTGGCATTAGAAAATACGACTGGAAAATGAAAGTTTATATTCGGTGTTTCAGCAGAGACCATATTGGAACTATCCACCCTTATCAAGTATTAGAATAGCCAAATCTCTCTATAAGAATCAAAGATTGAATCTCTTACAAATCCCAGCAAGTCTATCCCAGGATGACAGACAGTCAAAAATTCTTACAAAAAGTACTTTGCATCGGCTGTTACCATCTGCTAATACATTAAATTTCTGCTCCTTGAATCTACATCTCTTTTTTATAGACTAATCTATCATTTATGCTTTTGACTTTTTAATTCAGTTTCAAAACCAGTTGTGATACAATGATTAAGCTGTCACATTAAGGAAGGCGCTGTGTACTATACAATTATATGTATTTAATCCTACTCTAACTGCTGTGGTTATATCCTATAGAATCTTGGATTTGTAGTTTGGTCAGGTTCTTGGAAATCTCTGCAGACAGAAACTAGATATAGCAATACATCTGAAGTGATTCATAAAACCACAAAAACCACAATTCCATACAATGACAATGTACCAATTAAATCACACTCTAGTGAAGATATACTCTGAACTGAAGAATGCAACCAAATTACAATACCTTTTCATCCACAGACTTCTCTGTGATACTTACTCTTGTTCAGCACAAAATCATTGAAAAGTGTCTGTGATGATAAATTGGAATGGGAAGAATCATGTGTGTCACTTTGAGTTTCATGGGCAATGTAAGAAAATAATGGAATAGAAATAAAGATTCTTTTTGTTTATTATTTATTTTTGTTAGTTTTTGTCAATTAAAATAAATTTTGGTCTCTAACAAAAATACTTCACTTCATTTTTTATCGTTACTGGAATTAAAGAAAAGTTTAGGTCCTTTGGGACAGCACTTGAAATACACAGAACAGAAAGCATTTCATAATATAATTAGGTATGAAATTGGTTAACTCCAGTTGAACATGTATTTTTATGTAAGCAGAGAAATTACCTTTGTTTCTGGATGAGAAATGTTGTTAGTTCATCCTAATCCCAGTTTAGGAAGCCACTCAAACATTTGCTAAGGATTAAAGTATAAACACATGTATTGACTGAATTCCTCACTGAATTCTATTTTCTCCTTTTACTCAAACAGTATCAAAATTCAAGCCAGATGTGATTGTGAACACATATACCTGCCAGAAGTCTTCTTTGTTCTGAGAAACTATCACTATGAAAAACAGTTTGTAAAGTGATGTACTGTATGTCTAGGAAACAGGTGGATAATTGCACTTTGTTGATGTTGATGGCTCAAAATATTTAACAAAAACATTGACAACTTCGTACATCAATAAAGATCAGGAAAAGTAAAAACAATGCTGTCAAACTAAAGCAAAAAGCATACTATTAATCACTCATCTGGCAGGAGAAACTACATTAATGCCAACATAACATCATTCTGAATTTTTCCTCATGGTATCTAAGCATAAAAAGAATTATATTCCCACACTGTGCTTCCAAGTTCTGCTGTCAATATTTATTTTCTGCAACCTCTACACTATTTTTCAGCTACAATGGCCATTATGATATAATCCAGTTATCTTCCAACCAATTCTTTTGAATACATTTTAGGATGAAACCGAGAGATAAAACACATCCATGGAAATCCACTGGGTGCCCTTTGGTAGTTCACTCTTTCAGCCTCAAAAGAAAACAAAGGCAAACCCCATCTGAACAAATATTGCCAAGAAAAATCTATAATAAGATCTTCTTGGGATTATCATAAATTGGCAATGACATGAAGGCACACAACTCACATACTTAGGTCAAAGTACATTACTCTGCAAATAGCAAATTTAAATATGCAAAAATTCTTGTAATTTCGGCATCAGAAAATTCTTGTAATTTCGGCATCATTTTATTTGTTCGTAACAACAACAACAACAAGTAAAACAAGCAGTTGAAAAAGAAAAACACACCTGGCAGAATATGTCAAGGAAAGCCAAGAACCTGCTTTAACTGAAGTCAATAATCAGAAACTTCTCAAAGCACAGCAGACAAAGAACCAGTACAAGAAAACTGCACTACAAACCAGAGCTGACAGCTGGCACAACGAAGCATTGCACGGGCAGTTCCTTGACAAAATTGAAGGAAAAGTTGTCAGGGAGAACTTGGTTATGGCTCACAAATGGAACACTGAAGAAGGAGACAGAAGGCTTGATTCTTGCAGCCCAGGAGCAAGCCATTAAGGCCAGGATTGAAAAAAATCAGCTGATGACCCAAAATGCAAACTGTATAAAGAAACTGATGAAACCATGGACCATATCCTCAGCTGTTGCAGGAAAATTGCCGACGGACTACAAACAAAGACACAGCTCTGTGACCCAAATGATTCACTGGAACTTATGCCACAGGTACCACCTGCCAGTAAAGAATTGGATTATTGATGTCGCCATACCAGGTGACAGCCGCATTGAGGAAAAACAACAGGAAAAACTCAGCCGCTATTAAGACCTCAAAATTGAACTGCCAAGGCTCTGGCATAAACCAGTACAGGTGGTCCCAGTGGTCATTGGCGCCCAAAGATCTCAGCCGGCATTTGAAAACTATAAACATCGACGAAATCATGATCTGTCAACTGCAAAAGGCCACCTTACTTGGATCTGCATGCATCATTTGAAAATACATCACACAATAAAAAAATCAATGCAGTATAATTTCGTTTTATGATTACTTTCCTCTACTGTTTGAATATTTAAAACACCCAGAATTCAGATATATTTTACCAAAGCATATATACATTTAAAAAAAGCACTACATACATTTAAGAACACTATCATAAGCTAATAAAAATAAATCAATAATGCTGTTTCCAGACAAGGCTCAAAGGTGTTTTTTTTAAATCTTCCTATTTATTCCCAATAAATAACAGTACCCAGGCTTGGTTGCTACGTCAATAAAGGCAGTTGAAAGAAGGAAATTAAATCTACCTCTTCTCATGTGCAACTGTCTGTTACCCTCCTAAAAAATCTCTTCAGACAGTAGGACTACTACACAAAGAAGGGAATACTAACTCAAATGCAACATATTTCAGTTCATCTGTAAAATGAATTAGAACAGCCAACTTTAAGCACACTTATCTAGTTACAAGTAAAAGCTTTCAATTCCTACGCATTTTCAGATACTATTTTATTTAAAATGGTCCAAAATTAACTACTCTCACACCAAGAATCCCCTAATTTTGAAAGCAATATCCAAATGTGTCGTAAACTGGAGTTCTGCTTGAACAACTTGCTTCCTGTTCCTAATAGATCAATTTTGGCTGCTACTGATATCTGCAAGGTAAGAACAACTGACTTGCTGGGAAAGCATTCTTGATCCCTTGAAGTGCATTTTCCAGCACTCTTCTGGGACCTATCCAGCAGCACTTATCTACAGCTAGTTCGGCCTCTTAAATCTACAGCGCTTTTGCACAGATCACAAAGAAAGAAAACTGCCAAGATGAACTTCTTCCCTGTGCAAAATGGCAAAGCTCCTCTCATGTTTGAGCCCACTTCAGCTTCATGTTGAGGGTTTAAGTGGCACTGAAACTCTCTGTTACCTTGGCACAGATGGTGATTCTGTATCAGAAGACCAAGTTAAAAAAAAACCATAAATGAAATCGGTTGAGGAAATGGACTGGCAAAAAAAGACATAGAAATAAAAATAGAGGCCACCAAGTAATACTTGTGTCTTTCTCCGATCTAAGCTACATTTTTAGGGATAGCCCAAATTAAAAAAAAACAAAAAAAACCTGTTGCCCTCTCTGTGTATATCAAAGTTTTAAAATGTCTTGTGTGATCAATGCTTAAGCCTTCGGGAATCTTTAGGGAGATTTTAAAAATAGAAGAAATGGGGAGGAGGAAAGGGAAAGCAAAAATAGTCAGTTACACACTCTAAACTTTAAGGAAGTCATTTTCTCACACAGTTACAATCAATTCCAATAAAAAATGAAAGAGGGGCTGACTAAAGAAACCAGAGTAGCTGCAGAAATAACTTTCAGAGATTTAAGAAATATGTACAGGGTCTTTCAAATGATGGACACTTTTTCAAAGCAGTCTATTTCACAATTGGGTCCATATTTTAAAACTGCTTTATCAAAAAATGGAAGAAGGGGAAATCTCTAAAAAAGAATACTAACTTATTTATTTTTTATTTCATGTCAAAAGCATTGGATGATCTTTCTGTATCCCCCAGGAATACTAATAAAGAACCACTATTTGTAGAAGGTTATCAGAAAAGCTTCTCTAAGAACGCATCAACACTGTAGAATGAATTAGGTTTGACTCCACCTTAATTACTATGACTCAGTTGTATAGAATCACAGGAATTGTAGTTTCATCTCTGCCAAAGAGCACTGGTGCCACACCAAACCACAAATGTCAAGAGCCCATAGCATTGAGCCCTAGCAGTTAAAGGGGTGCCATACTTCATTCATTCTACAGATTAGCTGCACCCTAAATTACCTGTGAGATTTCCAGGAGAAAAGGAGAGTTCCCAGAATACTAGAAATCAGCAAATCTTGAAAAGGATACAAGATACATACATATATGCATCCAAAGAAGTAGTGACCAGTGAGCTCTTAGAAAAGAATGCTATAATTACTAGAATACACAACAGTTTAAAAAATAGGCCACATCAAACTAATCTGGTATCTTGTTATGACAGAATTATAAGCTTGGTAGATCAGAAATAGAGGAAATGCTTATCAAATTTGCAGATGTCACCAAATCAGGAAATCTGAACAGATTGGAAAACTAGGCCAAAGCTAACAGAATTCATTTGAACAATGATAAGCATTTAGACTAGGAAAAATGAAATTGAGAGATATATGATAGAGGCCATAGATATAAGACAGCGGTTTGATGAGGGTGATCGTGGGAGTCGGAAAGAGTTCAACCCTCCAAGGTCTCCTGGGAGAGCAATGCACCTTTAATTGCCCATCACTGATCTAATCCAACTGATTGCTGTGAAAGGGTTATAGCCATGGATTACCTCACACATTTTGGACCACATAATGTGAGAAAAAGCAGCAACATGACATATAGCAGCCAGAAACGAACCTAGTTCTAGACAAAGAACAAAATATAAAAGAAACAAAAAAAGAACACATTCTCTTTATTGCTATTTGAAAAATTGCCTATCTGATGATCCATTACATTAAGTACAATTCCACAGTGACATTCTATCTTTCTCTCATACACTGCTGGCATATATCATCTGAGCACTATGTTCTACATGTATGAACAAATTAAGCAAACTGTTGTTATGCATGACAGTTACATGCCACTTGGAAACAATAAACACTATCTCATCCCCAGACTCTCTTGTTGAAATTAATGAATGGTTGAAATAAATGACTTGAGGACAGCCTGGACCATTAATTTTCCCAAATAATCATTAATCCTCAAGCTGCTCCATTGTGTCTGCCAGAATTTTGCAGCTGTTGATTAAAGCATTCACATAAATGTCTTCAAATCTCTTTTTTTTTTGTGGAAATGTGAAGTTGTTTACTTATGTTAGATACTGACAGCACTTCTTTTAACTACCCAAAGTGCAAACTGACATTTATTGACTTCCCAGGTTCCACTGACAAAGTAGAATGAAATTGAATACTAACATGGAATAGTCTAATAATTCTTACTTTTTGGATTTTCATAAATAAAGTATTATAAGTATTAAACAAAAAGTATTAAATGAATTGAACTGTCCTTCTCAAAGTATTAAACTGCCCTTTTAAAATTAAAAGCATTAAATTAAAAGCATGAATTTCTCCTTTAGTTTCAAGATATGAAAAAGACCTGTCTGAACATTCATAGATTATGAAAGGGATATGGTCAACTAACTCAATAACTAATAAAGCATTACCACTAACATGGTTTTCTTTAAGACGTTCTTCTGAAAACGAAATCACGTCCAAGGAGCGTCCAGGTTTTCTGAGCATCAAGTTGTCTTATATCCATACAATCTTGCCTATTCGTTAAGAACTCTGATGGCTGCTCTGAGGTTATTAGAATAGATGGAGCCTTCTTAGTGCTGAACTCAGAGTTATACAACTCATTTCCTATGTATCTATTCATGTCTACTGTAACGTAGATCATTGTTTCTGTAAAACCTAACCATAACCCTAACAGGCCCATAACAATAATTCTGGCTTTCTTTTACATATATTTTCGATATATCATCCACATCTGTTATATAAGGCACTCTCATAAATTCATCTTAATGTACTTTTATCATTTGGGTAAACTGCTTTGTGAGAGCTGTATCTTAAACAGCAACCAACAAGCAAATGTTCCATTAAACATAAATGTCCTGCATTTGATGTGACACTTCTTCAGTGAACAGGTCAAATGTGTGAGTGTACACATTAAATCACAGCTCTTGAAGCATCTCTTCTACATATTTCACATCCAGATCATATTTTACCTGATACTGGCAGACTTTGCTTTCAGGTCATTCCAGCGTTGGTTCATGTCATCAATGCGATGTTGTAACAATGCAGCCTCTTCAGAATTCCCCAAAGCTTTTACCATCTTCTGCCTGTTTCCATCAATGCTCTTGAAGATGTCATTGTGGGCATCAATTTCAGCCTGAATATCCTAGGAAAACAAAAGAAAACAAAGCCGAATGATGTTAATTCTGCACTTAGAACACGATAACCATGAATTTACAAGTCTTCTCTCATCTCTTGGTGAAAATGTCAATCATTAAGGCTACCAACCTAGAAAAATATGTTTGCTTCTTGTTGAAAAACTGGATGTGTGTTCATTACATACAGTATTATTTGGGTGAATTGCCATGAAAACCCTTCCTGAAGCTTTGGTGGAATCAGTGTTCTTCATATGCATGTGGGGTTTTTTTGTACAATAAGCTTTTTTGAGTTTTCAATAAAATACATCTACACATTACTGAATCATATCAACATCCACACTAAGAAATACTAAAGCGGATTTTGAAATGTATCAGGTATCAGGGGGCAAAAGCTTTCCACAGAGTACGAAATTTGTCTCAAGGAAAGTGCCCCCCCCCCACCCACAAAGCTCCCCTACCCAGAAAACCTTTTCATCAACAGCATCTGGTCTGTGGAATAACCTGTCAGAAGAGATTCAACATCTAACATGCTATCAGAACTTAAGCCACATTTCAGACAGACCTGCCTACTTAATTTTAAATGGTGTATATTTTATTAGTATCAGTGTTTTAATCTTTGCCCTATGTATATTTATTTAAATAAGATTGTGTTTTATCAGTATGTTTTGAATGTGATATATCCTGCCTTGAGTCATGAGGAGAGGCGGGTAACAAATATCGTCATCGTCATCACAAACAATGTATATAGAATAGAGAAGACCATGTCAATGTAGACTGGAGATAATATATGTTAAAAAAACTTTTCATAACTTCACTAGTTACATGAGAAGTACCACAATCTAAACTTAACAGCCATACTTTTGTACAAAGTGCCAAAGCCACCTAAAATTTCAAAAACATGTACATTTGGGCACCTAAGGGCATTTTAGAGACATTGTAGCCTTCCAATGTCAACATTACCTTCCCCTGTTGTTCTTTGCTGGTTTATGGCCATAGTGTGGCTGTCTTATGGTCTGATCTAGGAGTGCATCCAAAGCCTAGATACCACCACCATAACACTGTGACTTTCTTTCCCTTAAATATTCTTTTACCATCTTTTCCTGATTAAAAATCTTGTGATGCTTGTTCTATTTTGCACTTTTTGGTTGGCCTACATTATAGGCTTTCAATTTTATTTATTATTTTGTATTCTGATCAACAAAATAACCTTGGGATGATTCTGAATGCATGTGAATAATTTGTTTCTGCAAATAAAATAACATTTCTGTAAAATTTAAATTTCTTTCTGTGAAATTCTCTAGATATTTAAACATAAATGGCCAGGATACATGCAGAACACAAAGCAGTTTTAGCCCCCTCTAAGCATTGCAAATTACAAGTTAGAAATAAGATTTAGTTTTTAAAAATTAATCCCTCTTTCTTTGGTGCCATGTCTATGAATGTTTGTAGGCATGTAAATGTCATGTATACCTAATCACCATTTATCCTCAAGAGCATTGAAACTAGACAGTATAGGAATTTATTTCAGACTCAACACTTGATTAATTCATTTAAAAAATGAAGTATTCATTTAAAAAATGAAGCTACCCCTTAGTCAAAAAGGCTCTTGGAATTAGAGAATACAGCTGCCACGAAATCTACAGGTATTTTCAAAATTAGCCAATCATACTCTGTAAAAAGGAAGGAAAGCTTTTTATTTTTCAAGTATAAAAACATGTGCAATTGTAGGATGAACATCAACATGATTTGTACAGGTGCTTTCTAGCATCTGGGCATAAATATTTAAAGAGCAAACTATCAATCTGGAGAAAAGCCATGAGGCATACACTATATCTCCATGGGATTAATCAGTGAAGATTATTAAAGGAAGCTTGTAGTACTTCAGACATGAAAGGAACACACACAACAAGCTTGGGATTTCATAAAGATTTGACTCTTTCATATTATGTACACCTTTTTTCTCCCAAGTGAGCTTTTAACATAGGTGCCCAAGAGATTAAGGCTATAACTAAAAATGATTTTTTTAAAAACACATAGAAGCCATTTAATAATTCATTGCCCGTTCCTGCTCATTTAGGGCATTGTATAATTATCCTCACTAGAAAAAGAAAACAGCTGTTAAAATGAAATGCAAGATCTCTGGGAAATAGTTAATGCTTCAAACCAGTTATTTATTAAAATTAAACTTGGAACTGTTTGTCCCTTAAGAGTGTGGGTGTACGTGTGAGGATGAATGAGAATAGATGTCTTCATTCCCTAATCTCCCTCTGCCCTTTGGGCTATATGGCTGACTATAAACTAGTTTTTCATAGTCAAAACCAAGGTTTTATTTCATTTATTTCATGTATTTCATTTATTTCATATAGGCAGTGGAGAAAGACTGTAATGGCACAAACATTTTATTCAAATGTCTACCACATTCACATGCTATTTTTAATACTTTAACTCACAAAACTGAGAAGATTTTACACATATTGAGCTACTTTACTTTTGTTTCCACCCTCCATTCAATCACCCCATTTTTCCATATATATCCTATGAAGTTTCTTTGTAGTTATCTCTTTCTGAATCCCATTCATTCCTGAATCTCAGAACGATTTCTTCACAAATATTCAAAACAACTGACAAAAGTACTAATATTGTCAATGCTGAAAATCATATTCCCAGAAATAAATGGCCCTTTATTTCCTCTCTCTAGCTATGTGGGGAAAGAGGTCACATCTGAGACCATAATTTATGAACAAATTACCCCCACCTTCACTGTGAAAAGTTAGCCCCTGCCTCTCAAAAACCCCATTTAAAATTAGTGGGAAAATGAAGCACAAAATGCAATAAAAAGTAAAGTATGCATGTATACAAATAATCAGTGAATTGGTAGAGATATAAAAGCACATATTTTCCAATTACTGTATAGAAGAAAACTATTTTATATGTGTGGAATACATATACAAACCAATGCAGTTGGAATAGACCTTTAAGAGGGAGACTGTAAAGCTTCACCAAGCAGCTTTCCAATGAAAGTGGAGAAAGCGGATGGAAACTGCACGTCTGAGACTACTCTCCAAATAACCAATATTACTTAACTGAGAATAACCACATTTAAATATTCATCTTCCATCTTTTCCAGCTATAAACACAAATGCTTCCAAACCAAGAGCACGATAGTTAAAATGCATCTAGGGGATAAAGTCAAAACCAAAAGTGTGCAAAGACAGTCTAGTCTTCAGTGGTATCCAAACACTGTTAAACTGCAATCCGGAGAAGTTTTTCTAATTACTGCAATGAGGACTATTTTGACACTGTTCCTAGTTCTTATAGCGTACCCAAATCTTATGGCGCTGTGAAACCCAGAAACGGGGGACAGATGTAAATGCTGAGAGGTCATTAGTTCTGACCAGGGAGATATGAGTTTCAAACACCACAAATGAGCTAGAGCCTGCCCAAGCTCTGTGATCTGCTAGAGAGGTCCTGCTCTCAGTCCCACTCCTGTCTCAAGTACCACTTGTGGGAATGAGAGAGAATGGCTCCTCGGTTCTGGAATTCCCTCCCAAAGGATATCAAAATGGCTCCCTCCCTGCTTTCCTTCAAAAAGCAAATAAAAATAAAAAGGGAAGCTTTTGCGGAAGACAATGAGTAATGATGTCAAATGGCAATGGATTCTGACAATAACAAGATGGAGCTGGTTCTTAATATAGCTGGTTTTTAATACTGTTTTTTCATGTATTGTTGTTTTATATGAAGTGTTAAAATTTCTGTGTGTTTGATATTTGTATTTTGAGTTTGTATTGTTCTAGATTTGACCAGCATTGAATTGTTGTGGGGTGTTAGCCTCTCTGTGTCCCTCAATGAGGGAGAGAGGGTGAGGTATAAAACAAAGCAAATAAATAAAATATATAAAACTTGGCAGGTGCTATTTCAGTGGATGCTGAAGGATCACACTATGCACAAAATCTGAAAACAAATGGAACTGCTTTCTTCTAGACAGATGTAATCAGGAGAATCTCCAATTGGTCACTGCTAACAGGACATGCTGTCATTGATAAAGCACCCTGGGCTCTGTAGGTCAAGACAGACAGCTTCCAGCATTCTGAATCCAATACTTCAGCTGTAACTCTTGCTATAAATCAGCTCCAATTTCACCTCTGTGTCAAATTCCCCTGCTCCCAGCTACCAATGCAAGAGAGAAGAGCATATTAAATGCCTGCTTTGGTACTCCTGGCTAGGTGGTTAAAAAATTAAAGTGTAAGGATTTATATAAATAACACAAGGACTTTTCAAGATGAAAGGACAGTCCACTTTTCTAATCTCAGAAGACATCCATGACTTTCCCAGCTCCTCTATTATCATTACCATCAACTGTGGTCAAGTGAAGGATACCTGCCTTGAAAGAAAGAATGAGAAAGGCATGGGTAGAAAACAAGAGCACACAAAGTGTGCTTTGTATGATGCCAGACTGCAGAAATGCAACTACAAGGCTATTATGTCACAAAACAAAAGCAATGTGTAGGATCTTATCTACTGTGAATATACTAAATGTCATGCCTCCACGTTTGCTTGTATGAGGGAAAGGGTAAAAGATCAAGAGCAAAGGTGCATCCATGGGTTCCCTTGTGCCCATGCTCACTTGGGCGGGCAGGCTGGGTGGTGATGGGACAGGCGAGGGTGAGGAGCCAGCATGACTGCATGCATTCCCTGGCTCATTGAACTGATTCAATTGATGCTATCATATTTTAGACCAAAAGTCCCACTCTTGGGCAAAAAATTGTCTAAAAATACAATGACTGAGTGAGAGATGGATTTATCATGAGATAATATGACTTACTGGAAAAGACAATAATGTTTGGTGAAGTATAACGCAGTAGGAAATGAGGAACACTACACTACAGGAAGATCGATTTAAGGAAGCTACAGCTCTGAGTTCACAAAACGCTAAGCAGGGGTGGTCTCATATTTCATCATATGTTGCATATGAGGAAATCAACTTGACAGCATATAATAGTAGCATGGA